CGCACTCAGCTGGATGAACATAAAGGTAGATTAGATCAAGAGTAGAAATTCAGGATTCACAGCGTACACCGAATACTGTCAGACAAAGATAGCCAAGTAGACAAGGTAGAAACAAAAACTAGACAACTTTATTTGTTATAACAAGATGCACAGCTGGATGAACACAGCTGGCCAAGCAGCATGAAGAGCAGGAAGGCTGACGTTTCAGGCCTAGACGTCAGCCTTCCTGCTCCTCGGATGCTGCTTGGCCTGCTGTGTTCATCCAGCTCTGCATGTTGTTATCTCAGATTCTCCAGCATCTGCAGTTCCTGCTATGTCTGAAACAACTTTATTTGTTCCTGTTGTTGCCAGGACAATGGGGAGAAAAACAGAAGAGGAAGAATTTTAAAAAAGATGATGTTGAAAATTTGAAGAAAACTGAAGCAGCAAAACACGCAAACACCACCACTTAGGCTACGGTGAAAAATTAATGAATAACCGCCTTGCTGCCAGAAACGCATCAGTCACTTGGTTGCTGTGGATCAGTTCTAGAGTAGATTTGTAGCCCGGGTTGTGGATATTGTGGTCGGTTGGCTCGCCGAGTTGGTTCGTTGTTTTTCCGCAGATGTTTCATTACCCTGCTGGGTAACATCATCAGTGCAGCCTCTGATGAAGCACCGTTGTGTTTTCCCACCTGGTTTTTAAACTCTGGAGTCTGCTGAGCTGGATTACCTCACTTCCGGTTTTCCTTCGCACTGGAGTGTATATGGGGTCGAGCTCTATGTGTTTGTTGATGGCTTTCTTTGTGGAGTATCAGGCCTCTAGGAATTCCCGTGTTTGTCTCTACTTTGCTTGTCCCAGGATCTTGGTGTTGTCCCAGTCAAATTGGTGATTCTCCTTATCCACATGGATCAGTTCCAGTAGCTTAGGTTCTTAATATACCATTGTAGTCTTGCTTAGCTGTCTCCCTTTGCAGCAACAGTTGAAGTCCTCAGGTCTGAACGTTTGTCCACATTTTGGGGCAAATATACCTCCCTACTCAGAGTCTAACATCAATTGCATTGGCCCAGACAGATCAAATTAACCTTGTCCAAGGTTAAAGTAGGGTGGCAGAAAGACTTCCACTCAGCCATTTGTTTTACCAAATGGTTGTTAACCTCCTTATTTCACTTTCCAACCTTCCACCAGCCAAGAGCATCGATTTATTTCTCTTGCTTTTGGAAGCAAAGAGAATAAGAAAGTGGTTAAAAGGGAGCTGAATGTAACATTTTCGTTATTAATGAAACTACAGTCAAATTTCAAATCAACATCGACATTTCAACAAGCATGCAAGAGAGATGCACCGGCTCAAATTCCTACCATTTCTGGGAAGAGACTGGACTTAAAACAGATTGCAAATAGTAACCAATGGCTGCCTCAACAAACAATGCGGTTGGAAAACAATATCACAATTATGGCTCAATTTAGCATGAACAAAACATGAAAGATACATATTTCGTTTTTGGTCAGGATACATTCAATAGGATAACTAACTAACTTAGTGGCTAGGTCACTGGCCATATTAGTTCCACTTCCATTCAGTGTCTGCTGTTCCTTTTACTGCTTTTATTCACTACTTCCTCTTCACTTTACTTCCAGCTTGGTTGCTCTTGCACATCCCATCTATAAGAGCTTCTGTACTTTGCCCTGTCCCTACTGCTTCCACTTCACTTTGTCATATTCTGCCAACTGCTAGACTTTGTGCCTTTGTAATACTTATTGTCTTAATGTCAGCTATCTCCACGTACTCAAGACAAGCTCTTGCTGCACTTATTTATCTCTATTAGTTTCCACTGTTCCAGAATCTACTGTTCTACCCACAGCATGAATCTTAACGGCTCTTCCCACTCTTCCCCCTTTCAATGGTAGTGGTGCTAACTCCCCAGGTGTCCACTGTTCTCCCTTCTTTTATAAAATGATTAAAAAAATCAAAGCAAATATATTAAAAACTTAAGATAACAAAAACAACTTGGAGCAAAAAAAGACAGCAGGTAATAAACTCGACAAAGTGTAAAGAAAATTGCATTATGATGTTGCTTTTTCACACATTTTACCATGAGTTCAATAGGAAATCAACATTAAAATGACGAAGGGCCTCCGTTCTCCCCAGCCTTGTGGCATCTTGGCCTTTGTGGCTAAGCTTTACAGCAGCTCTAAAATGCCACAGAATTTGTTCAGTTTATGTTTCCCCATCAAGCATGAGGCTACAGACACAAAGAAAACATCCCCTGTGAATGGAATTAAAAGATCTGTATTTGGTATTTCAAGTTTTGTACAGGTACCTTTTATTGGCAGCAAATATAAACCTATTCAAAAAGGAATAAAAGAATGCCAGTTTTATCAGGTGTGTCCACGAGATATTAAAGTGTTATAAATCTTGTTCCTATTAAATGAATTTTCTCAGTGATTGGTTACAGAACAAACCCCGTAAAGTATTATCTGAAGATACAAAGTAACCTTTAATCTTCACAAATCCCTTCGCTTCCAGGCAAAGTTGTAAAACAAAATCTCTTTAATAGACTTTAAATTGATCAAAGACCAGGTCAAACGTGACAAGTGGATTTACTGGACAGGTTTTAAAAATCAACTGGTCTCCAAACCACAGGAAATTACATCACATCCACTGTAAAAGCAGCCTACAGTAGTTCTTGGAATAGCAAAATTTTATTTTCAATGCCATTTCTGATGAACTTTCCTCTCCAAGTACTATAGAAGAAAAAAGCAAAGGCCACTTGATTTGTGTCTTAATTGCATTTACATTATGGAACGAATTCCTCAATTGGTCAAGTGAAAAACATTAAAATTGTGTAGAATATGCTATGAAGCTGGTCAAAAATACACTAAAATTTAGATTTCAAGAACAGGAATAATGATCAAGAGAAAACAACCATGCTGCTCCCTTTTGGGAACAAGAGTGTTCTCTAATCATCTAATATAACAATCATTACAAATTTGTGCACTCCCCACAATGTTTGAGAAGGCAGGAAACCGTGTCCAGACCAAAGCTTGAAAGAGAGAAGAATCTTCATATTATTTAAATGAGTCCTGCGCAGGATGCTACATTCAAATTACAGAGGGTGCAGCTGGCCAGCATTTGCTGCCAACCATATCTCTGAATGCAGATCACTCTCCTACCATCCCTCTCAGCCTCAACTAATTCATTTCAACTTTCTTTTAAGATGTTTCCTGCTTTACTGATCATGAGAATGTGAAAATGGTTTAACAACTCTGTGCATCAAAAAGTTAAAGTTTAAGCCAATATTTTAAAAAGGACTGAGGAGCAACTTTTTCATTTTACACAGTGGTTCGTGTATGGAATGAACTGGCAGAGAAAGTGGTAGATGTAGGTACAGATCCAAATGTCTTTTAAACATTGTAAAAGTGCATGAATAGGAAAGGTTTAGAGGGAGGTGGGCCAAGAGCAAGCATGTGGGACTCGTTTAGTTTGGAAACATGGTCAGCATGGACTGGTTGGTCCGTTTCCCTGTTGTATGACTGTCTCAACTTTAACCATTCACTACTCAACACTCAGCATTACACATTTAACTGGTGAAAATCTGTTGGTATGGGTTCGTGTGGATCAGCTCACCAGCCAGTGCTATTATTTAATGGATATTAAGAGCCAAGAGACTTTTTAACACTATCATTCCAAACTGTAAAGGATTCTAAACTCAGAACTATTTCCACAGCGATGTTCAAACTTGCTTTTTGGAATGGGCAATAAATGCTGACCTAGACAGCGATGCTGTCATTCCATGAATAAATAAAAGGAAATGATATTAGTTACTTTGAATATCTTCTGCAGATGAAGCTGCGACTTTTAGATCCCAGTTCTGATGAGCAGAATATGAAGATTTCCTTGCCCCATGAACCTGACCTCAAAATTAGCTCTCCAAACTTATAATTTTCTAATGGAGGGTCGGGTGGCATGAGAACTTGGCCAGGAGAGGG